AAAATAAGAACATTAAAGTGTATTCTTCTAAAGCAGACAGACATGGGCAAGATGTGAATGAGACTGAAAAGCAAAATATTTATGGCTGTGCAAAAGTGCTGGGCTACACTATGGGATGTGAGTAGATGGAGGAGCTCCTTGAAGTGTGCACAGTAAGATGTCCTGTGCCAGGTAGGGTAGAGAGGTTCTGTCCCAGCCATCATGGCATAGTTACTATAAAAGCACTGCTCTGCCTCTCTAGCAGCCTGTCAGGGAGCAGCTCAGAGCAATTCAGGTTATAGCTGCAGTACAAACTCCATAAATTCACCCACCTGCTCCCTGGTGAGATCCTCTCACCTGCTGCCAGGGGCTGCTTTGGGCCAGGGTGTTCTGGGGTTGGTGGCACACCCAAGAGTTTGGTTTCAGATGAAAGGCAGGTGCTTTGAGCTAGGTGTTAGATACAGTGGCTCACTCACGAAGATGGAGCACCATCTCACATGGAGCATCTCCAGATAGGACTTGGGGAATCAGCTAAAGCAGAAGGCTCAGGGGTTGACTCTGGCACTGCTGCTGACTAGCTGTTATGCGACAGGACAGGAAGCACTCTCTGCCTCAGCTTCCCCATGAGTAAAGCAGAAATCAAAGGGTATGGCATGTCTAAAGGCTGGAGGGGTGACCCAGAGGTTCCTGGTGAGAGGTGACTTGAGGTGGTACCTGTGGTTCCTGTTTCAAAGCCCCGGGGATTTCAGAGTCAGACACTAAAGAGTAAATCACAGCAGGCCCTCCTACCTTTGTATTTCCTTTATCAGCTGCAGACAGTCATGAAGAAACACTTCACTCAAACCAGGGACAAAGTAGAAAGCACACAGGTCAGCTGAAGTGTGCACACGTTCCCAAGGACACAGTTGGGGTGATGGAGGCCCTGGAATGTGCTTTAAAGGCCTGATACTGATAACAGGCAGAGATCTGAGTCTCTGAGTTTGTACAAACTCCAGTAGATAAGTCCATGTCATGATGATACTACAACAGTGGGAGATGGGACACAGCTTTTATCAGAAAGATCTCTTCATCTCTTCATCCCCATCCCTTTGGGCCTCCATGACCTCACACTGGTCATATTCTCACTTAAAACTCCAACGAAACTCATAGAGACCTTCCTGGGAGAAAATGTGAGCTTGTTGCCATGAGAAAACTAAAGCTAAAACAACAAAATTGAAAGTAGTCTACAATGTAGAAATGTGTTAATGGAATATCATCTTTCTCTCCTGCATGTTTTCTTTTCATAATTTTGCAGCATTTGCACATCTTTCTTTATTTTTTCTTTAAATGAGCACTGAAGTTATCTGTCTGCTTAGTGTCACAGAGCATAGAGAGCTGCACTGCAACTCACTGTGCTTTTCCATAGCTCTGATGCATTCCCAGTATCACCTGACTTTCCCAAAAGGCCCATGAAGAATGGGATGTGCCTGTGTTTTATTCCTATGTGAGTTTCAATGGAGTAAGAAATCGGCTTGATGCAGTGTTTAGTGCCTGATGAGGTGTGTGAGGCTTTTGAATGAAATGGAAACCATGCAGAAGAAATTCCCATGGGTTTTGTTTGAAAAAAAAACCTATGAAATGGAGAGTGCATCAGCCTCACTAATTGATTCTGAGAAGGCCTGGCCAGCTCCTTATGCTGCTAGTAAATACAAGTTACCCACATAATATAAACCTCTCCTTCCCCCAGGATCTTGGAGTGTAATGGCTCTCTGCAATGGTGAGGCTACAGGGTTTCCTTTGTATCAGAAAATGACTAATTTGTCTTATGGCAAGTTAGCAAAGAGTCCTCAAATAGCCCTGTGATTTGCTATAGTGTTTGCAGCATCTCTAGTTCAGTGATTGTGATTTTTGCATCTAGGAAAGAGTTCCTACTTATTTCTTAATTCTCATGCTTTCAACCATTTAATTCCTAATCATGTGCCTTTAGCCACATGGTTTGGACAAGATCCAAATCAAGGCAGTGACTAGGCCAAACAAACAGCTCGAAACAGGTCTTTTCTTCTTGCAGATTCTTCATCCAAACAGCTTTGTGGATAAAGCAGAAGCTGTGCAAAAGGAGGAAATCTCCCCATCCAGAGCAGAGGCTTGAGCTAACAGTCAAGCTGTAGAATTCTGCATTCATCCACAGAGAATGAGTGAATGAATGAATTAATGAATGAATGAATGAATGAGAATGAATGAACTCCACATTTGTAGGGAAGATTAAAAAGGATGGTTCTCAGTCACAAGACAGTAAATGTAGGATGCATGTAGGATTACACAGCTCCTGCAGCTTCACAGCCCTCTGATGAGACTGATTTCTCCATGCTCAGCTCAGGGCTGGAAAGGCAGTGTAGGAGGGTAGCACATGGGCCCCATGTGCTCCCTTGGCTGACAAGGGCCAGTAGCTGCAGGAGACACAGGGAAAACACAGAGGGATTTCTTTCAGCCCTGATGGGAAAGCTGACCCTTGGCATTGACGTACACTGCAGTCTCGATGGACACCAATCTGTGTCCTTGTTTGGGAGTCTGGTACCGTTCTCCAGAAGGGGCAAAGCACAGCTCAGAGAAATGGAACCAACCTGCACCTCAAACTTTGGCCAGTGTGCATGGAACAGGACCAGTAGTGAACTTCCTGAGTCCGAGTGGATGGGTGGAGACTGCTCAGTGAGGGGTGGAGGCATCAGGTACAGACAGGAGATTGCCCAAGGCAATGCTCTGGCTATGAAACCTGGGCTTCATTCAGCTCCACACTGCTGACACTTGTGCCCTGTGAACTGGCACAAGTTGTGCTGACCAACATGCTGCAGCTGATGTGAGGCATTACATATCTGCTCCATTTTAGAAATAATCTTGAAGGAAACTAAGGATGTTGAAGGAAATGTTCCGTCCCCTAAGCTATTGACCAATCCATCAAAGATTTTAGCCTTGCTAATACTCTTAATTCCCCTAAAACTGACTCCCTGGTGTTCTGTACTGGCAGAGGCACTGAGAGAATGTTCATTCCCTGTTTTTAATCTGCCTATTCCCATTATATTTTTTACTGTTTGGCTAGCAAAGGATCCTGATGCTATGGCTACAGCCCTTCATGAAGGCAGCTGGCACAGTTCCTCTGCTCTGCAGCCATGTGTGGGGTGCAGCAGGCCTGGACAAGCAGGGAGGGCAAGGGAATGGGGCTGGCAGGCACTGAGGGGACCTGGGCAGAGAAGGAAGGGGCAGTGGGCAGTGTGCTCTGTGGCACCTGAGAGGTGGAAGTATGGCAGAGGGTGGAACAGTCACAGGACGCTGCTGCTCACCTCCCCCAGCTGTCCAAGGCCAGCTGGCATGCCCAGAGCACCCTTCCCCAGCCCACACAATGGCAAGGCTGCCATAATAGGGGTGCAGCTGGGATGAGTATCAGGGCTGTACATCAAGGGCAGCACTCAGCTCTGACTCTTCTGGGCTGGTGTGTCAGCATGAATCACTAGTACTGGAAGTTCTAACATGCTGCCCTGCATGGGAGAAGCTGCCTTGCTAGCCCCTGGGGAAATGGGGACATCTATCCTGGGAGCTGGGAACTAACCCAAGGGAACTGGGAATGAACTCTGCAGTCAGCAACTTTCCTGCCTTCTCTTTTTCTAGTGCTGATCGGTGTGGGCATAGAAACGCTGCAGCAAGGACAGTTCAAGAGCCTGGCTTTCTATCTGCTGTAAGTATTTTTGCCCTTGAAATCAGAGTTGGCAGGGGTGACAAGGTCAACCCCTCCATCGTATGTAGCACCAGACTAAACAGTGTCCAAGGCTTTGGGTATTTCAGATCTCCATACTGAGGTTTCAGAAAAATAAGCTATTTCTGTTAGAAAAAGAGATGCTACTGCAGACTCAGGCAGGCCAGAGGTGACACTGGCTGCAACTTGACTCCCCAGGGACAGAAGGGCTGTGAGTTTTCCTCCACAAACCAGATGAGCAGAGGGTGTTCAGACCCCAGCACACAGACTGTGTTGAGAACTGGATTGTAAATTCTGGCCCCCTTTGCCCCATCTGGAGAACATACCCAAACACAGCCCTGTTCCCCTGACAGCTCCACCTTTCAGTTTTTCAGGGGCTGCAGTTACTGTCTGTGAAGGCTTCTTCTTTATCAGTTTGTTCCTGGAGATGTGCTTCACGTGAGTAGACCCTGCCCACTACTCTCCAGCCATGGTGGGACCTCCCAAAGAGACCTTGCCCCTTACATGCAACACCAGATCTAGGGGAGCTGCAAGTGCCAGACCAAAAGTCCTGCCCCTAAGGCAAGTGCACTCATACAGGGGGGAGGTAAATGGGTCCATGTGCACAGCCATTTAAACCTGCATTTTAACCCAGGCTTGTGCCTTCATTTCCTGAGCATCAGCACAACAAACCCTGGTCTTCAGCATCTGCTTAACACAGTTTGTAGGCACAAGGTACCAGGGTTGAAGAAAGAACCAGATCCACGGGTGAGCTTCAGCTCCCTCCAGAGACAGCACAGAAGTTAAAATGTAGACAATCCTTATGTCCTTTTCAGAGGCTGTGCACTGCTGCTGTCTTCTAGCATAAACTCAGAAGTCCTCACAGCTTACAGGCAACACCTTGTTCCAAATAATAGGCACTTGATTAGTGATCAGCTGAGATGCTGGCCTCTGGCAAATGCTCTTCTCCAAACACGAGATGTTCAGGCTTTGCTTACCTTCCCTGAAACCACACCCACTTCCTGACAAACCAGAGTGAGGATCTGCACCTAGATGGGTCATGGTTAGGACCAAATCTTCTTGGCATATGGACCTCTCTTTCTCTCCCCAGTCACAAGCCTGAATCCCTGGCACAGGCCTGCTGGAAGCGAGCTAGACGCCCAGGGAGCTTCCAGAAATTCCTGGGGTACACGCTGCTCTCAGTTGCTTGCTTCCTGCATCCCGTCCTCGTCTGGCATGTCACCATCCCTGGTGAGAAGTTTGACTGGGGAGTAGTGCAGATGGAAGTGGAGCATGGTCTGTCAAGGGGTGGGGGTGGGGATGTGCAGAGAGCTGGGCTGGTGGCCAGTGGCACTGGGCTAGCTGGGCCAGACGCTGCTTGGCAAGATCTTCCCACTTGCCAGAGCCCCCAGCCAACACAGTCTTGTCCCCAGGGTCCATGCTGGTGTTCACTGCCCTGGCCTATTTCCTGCTGAGCAAGAGGAGGAAGAGCCCAGGGCACAAAGAGACGCATCCCCAGGCAGGTCAGTACGTGGACCCTTCAGCCACTGAGGCAGCCCCAACCATCATTGGTGACACTGAGCAGACCTACACCTTCCACGGGGCCCAGAGGGAGCAGCACCGCTCGCTGCTGGGCCATATGAAGAGCATCCTGAAGGGCAGCAAGGACAGGAGCTCAGCCCCAGAAACTCCTGTCCAACCAGCAGCCATGCCAGTCCCTCGCAAGCAAGTGCACTTTCAGGAGAAGGTGGTGCAGATCATCCCCTCTGTCAGCGAGAACTTGGAGGATGTGGAGAGTGAGGCTGAGGAGACGACGTCGGATACAACACCCATCCTCACTCCACCTGATGCCCCCATCATCATCGCCCCTCTCAGCTCCACAGGCCTCTTTTGAGCCCTCAGCAGGAATGAGGACAGGACAGACCTGCTACCCTGGAACAGATGCTCCAGCAGCCCAAGGGGCTCGGGAGGTGGCCCTTTTTGGTGGCCCTTTTTGCCTTCTGTACTTTCGGGGTGACAACTGTGCCACCCCCTCCTCAGGGGCTTCCTGCCCTCCCTGGTCCCACGCGTTGTGGCAGGCCCAGGGGACAGGCGGTGGTTCAGGTAGTGCCAGCACAGCGAGGTTTCTGTCCCATGGCCTCACCCGTGTCACCCCTGTTCAGCACTGCACACACTGCAGTGCTCCTGCCTGGCACCACAGCCATGGCATGTGCCTCCCTTCTGCAGCAGCAGGCAGGAGGAGGGGACACCTCCGTGCCCCAGAGCAGCCTCTGCTGGGGCACTCGTGTCCCTCTGGCCCCCACTGCAAATTGCAGAGCTCAGGGCTGAGCTGCATTCAGCACAGGGCACTGCAGCCTGCAGGCTCCCTCACAGCACCTGCACCCGCTGCAGCAGCTTGAGACATGCAGAACATATTTCGGAGGTGGGCTGGGACCAAGCACACCCCTGGCATTAGTACCTGCTTAGTGCCTCCCCAGGCACTCTCTGAGCCCAGCAGGGAAATCATCCCTGGCCTTGGGGACACCTAAGCAGGAGCAGAATATGGCAGCCCAGGTCCTGAGGTTCAGCACCACACTGGCACAGCAGACTGTGTGTAACTCCAGTGTGTGTAATTATGGCCCCCAGAGAGCAAAGGCAATAATAAAATTACCATGCTGCCCCACCAGTTTCTTCCATGCCAGCTCTTCCCTGAACCCCTTAATTCTGTCTTAATCCTGGCATAACTTCTGCCTTTTGAGGACCATTCAGTTGTAATCAAGCATTTTCCTCCTATTCAGCTCCCACCTGAGGAGATATGGGAAGAGTTCAGGTGGCTGGGTTCCCGTGGACGTGGGACAAGAAGCCACACTGTCACTGCTGTTGGGATGAAAACCTGTAACTGCTCTGAGCCCAGACACACAGCATTGGAGGGAAGTGATGGTAATTAGAGGAGGTTCCTGGGACCTGCCAGACTATTTATAAGGTAGAGGCCAGTTAGCTGGCTGTTTTCTTGTAAATACATTATTTCTTCTACTTAAGATCTCAGCTCTCCAAGAAGCAATCACCATGTTCATTTAGGAAAGCAGTGTAGGTCAAAGTGTAATCAGAAGGCAACTGAGATAAGAAACCAGTGCTACTTTTTAATAAACTTTTTTTAAGTGACTTCTAATTTGTGATATGGATGAGGACGAAGATGAAAGATACTGACTCACAATATTTGACTGCCTGTGTTTAATAATGAAACTGTTGACAGGAGCAGTTTACGAAGGGTTACACACACTTGTCAGTCCTACAATGAGACATAGACGAAAAACGTTTTGTTGAATCACCAACATTTAAAATAGCTGGTATCAATCTGCTCTAAATATGATGCATGGATTAGAGACCTCCTGTTTCTGGCTGCAGAAATTAATCTTCCACCCTGTCATGGTGTACTGGGGAAAAGTCACATACACATGTTCCTTTAGGGTGGATTTGCACCTGTAAAAATATCTTCAGAAAATTGCACCCAGTTAACGTTGCACAACTGATAGCAGCAAGCCCACAGCTTCACTCTCAACCTGGTGTATTCATCACATTAGGCAATAAAAAAATAAAGCTATTTTCCTCTAAAGTCTGTGACAAACATACCTGCACCAACCAAGGTCCCAACCCAGCCATGCTAACAGGATACCCACCCTGGCCTACTCTCCCCAAAAAGGCAGAGCTGGTTCCCCAGCTTGACCACACATCTGCTCTGCAGTTAGAGCCACTTTCATTAGCCAAGTCAGCTTTCTGCATCATCCAAGGTTCTTCTTTGAACATTGCATAATTAATTGCAGACAGGGAGATAAGCTTCATTGAAAAGGCACTGCTACCAATAAATTGATCAATCTGCTGGCAAGAGAAAGACTGTTTTGCTGCAGACTGTTGTCTAGCCCTCAACAAAGCTCCTGGGCAGCCTGGGTGGGAACAGATGGTCTGCCACAAATTCTGTCCTTCAGCCCTTTACTCGATCAGCCAGCCCCATGATTTGTACCTTTGGGCAGCAGGGCTAGCAGGCAAGGGGTGAAGCAATGTGGTGACAGCACCTTTGGCACTTTGAAGTGTGTAGGGAGCAAATTTCATTGCTCTGTGAAGTGCTTAAAATGCATTTGCAGTTATTAGAGTCCCCACAATTAGGTTTCCTTTTTTAGCCTCATCTTTTAAAAGTCCGTTGTAGGTTTCCCTTCAGAATCAAGACTGGAGGAAGCTACAGGTGAGGTGTTTTTTCAGGCTTCATGGAGCCAGCATTGGACCTGGTTGCTTTTTTTGCACTCTCCCTTGTATTGGCCTGGTTCTTCTCCAACCCCACAGCTAGTAGGCTCAGGAGATAAAGGCTGGGAAAAAAGGCTTCTTGTCTTTTCTGTGGTATTAAATTGCCTGTTCAATTAAGGTCCATGGCTGTCTCACCCTGGAGTCTGCCAAGAGCCTGCATCCATGCTGGGGAAGTGGCTGCTCCTTCAGAGGCAGACAAGCTGCACCTCAAACAGCACCTGAGCTGCTTCCCAGGTTCTCCCTGCCAAGGAGTCCATTTGCACATCCCCCTCTCTGCTCCTCACCACCCATCCCACGCCTGGTGCCACCTTCCAGCTCCCTCAGCACATTGACCTGTTAGCCCAGTGGAACATTAATTAGGAAAAAGAAAGCAGGTGGCTATCTTCTTGGGTAATGAGCCAAGTAAGTTCAGGGAGGGCCAACCACAAATGAAGGGGATGGGGGATAAAAGAACCTCTTTCAGAGTCAGCAGGCTGTTAGAGCAGCTCAACTGCTTAAAGAAACAAAGCCTCAGGCTTTCTTTAAAACCCAGTGCAGAGGAAACGTTCAGCCTCAGGGGGTGTCAGATGACTTTGCAGAGGCCTCAGAGATTATTCACTCAAGTGTGCACTTCTCTGTTGGCCCCGCTCCCTACATCTAGCTGTGAGAGCCATCCCAGGGGCTTCCGAAAGCACCAGAGATGCTGTAGAGGGTTGTGGGGGGTCTGTATGAGAAATGCTCTCATATATGCATGGTATTTGCAGAAAAAGAAAAAGAGGGAGAACTTGATGCTATTAACTTTGCAATGCACTGTATCTGAATATGAGCTGCCTGAGCTGTAAGTCCACAGACCACTACATGAACTCTGCTACGTAATTTTTGTCCTGCATTGCAAAAATACATTACTCGCCTGGTCCATTGAGATTAATCCACTGAGTTAGAGTGCATAAAGCTATAAACTCCTGTGGATTCACATACTGAAAGGAAATGAGATGAATCATCCAAAAGAAATACATGTGTAAGGTAAAACTCTGTGAGGTAATCCTGGCAGAAATTGTTTCCTTCAAAATTTCCACCAAAGATTCCCCTGCATAAGGAAAAATTAGTCTGCTTTACATGTGAAGTGGAAACACTCTACAATGTTACTTGACAGCCCCCATCAAAACATAGTGAACTGGTATGTTGCGAGCAGTTACTCCATTTTAAGTTTTATATGCAGGAAAATCAAATTTGTGTGCAAGCTTCACTTAAAATTCCTCTCTTCTTCCAATGCACAAGTAGTTGTCGCTGAGCCCTAGAGACAGACACTACCTGCCCCACCACAGTGCTCCCACCTCACACCAGGGACTTGGATGGTCCCCCTCCTAACTCCCTAAATCCCCACAGGGACTCTGGCCCCTCATTTCTCTGAGCACTGCTCCATATTTGAAACATGGAAATTAATGTTTTACCCAAACAACAGCAGTGCTAGGAAAATAAGGCACACTCAGAAAGTAAAAAGTATTTCATTTCTGCAGTGTCAGTAATTAAAATCCAAAATGCCCTGCTTGAGCCTGTAACTGCAACACTCACATCAGCAAACACCAGTATCAACATCAGTGGCATTGGTGGCTTCTAATTCAGTATTGAGTCATATCCACATGCAGAAGAGGACCTGTCTCCACTTGATTCCAAATGCTACACACTAATACACCTGCAACCCTACCACTCTTCAGCCCTGCACCTTCTTCTATCCCAGTCAGGGGATTCTCCTATGTGCTGGGACAGAAATACAGTTTCTGTTTTGGCTGGCCTCCTGCATTTTGTGCTGTGAGGGAAGTTACAGAAACCAAAAGTAGATCCCAAACCTGCCTGGGATTACTTGGAGCTGTTAGCTCCCTTGTCTGCTTGGCATGATGGAAAAGCAGGAATATGAATTCCAGCCACCATATATCAGCTGACATACCACTAGTGAAATGACTGCGTAGGTTATATTCTAATGCATGTTTGAAGTAGCTTTTGGATTCTAATTCTAGGCAATTATTCACTCAGCATGTGGCTTTATTGAATCTTGTTTTGAGGCTCTAGGCAAACACCAGGAACCAACTCAGGTCTTTGGATACAGACCAAAGAGGGAATCCAGATGTCAAGACAGAAAAAAAAAGTAAATAAAAAGGAAAAAATGGGAAGAGTAATGTTTATTGGCAGCTCCTCCTCATCACATCCTGGACTTCTACAGCTTAGGGGGAAGTTGTGAACAGCTCTTAACAGTAATCCCTATCCTACTCTCATCTCTTCCTTCTGCCCAGCCAATTCTTCACCCCAAACCTTTCCCCTTCAGAGCACTATTTAAAAGGAAATATTGTCTTGATCAAGTCACACTAAACAAAATTATATGCACTGAGACATGATTGTACAGCTCCTTCCTGCCTCTCCCTCTCCAAAACTCCTCTGTAAGAGAAGCTATGTACTGCCTCCTCCAAACTGACATCAGGAAACTGGGGGGGGTGAGTTTTGTTCCCCATAAAAATGGGATGCCTTTCATGTTCAGGGCCCTGTAGTGAGGAGTGGGCTTCTGCCTGCTGAAATGCCGAATGGCACAGGATTTCTTCCAGATAAAAGTGGCCATGACCTGGAACTCTGGCTGCCATTGGAGTGCCA